CATGGGGGCTACATACCGAGGGCTAATAAATGAGGGCAACATACACTGAGGGTACATACACGAGGGCAACAACACGGGGCTACATACATGAGGCCATCACTGAGGCAACATACACGGGGCTACATACACTGAGGGCAACATACACTGGGGGGCTAATACACTGAGGGACATACACTGGGGGAAACAACACTAAAGGCAACATACACTGGGGGCTAATACACTGAGGGCAAATACCTGAGGGCTACAACACTGAGGGTACATCACTGGGGGCAAACATACAGAGGGAACATACACTGAGGGCTACTCCCCCGGGGGCAACATACACTGAGGGCAAATACCTGAGGGCACATACACGAGGGAAAAACTAACGGGGCTACTACACTGAGGGCAACATACATGGGAAAGGGCTACTACACTGAGGGCAACAACACGAGGGTCAAACCTGAGGGCTAATACACTGAGGGCAACATACACTGAGGGCTAATACACTGAGGGCACATACATGAGGGCAACATACACGGGGGCAACACCCCTGGGGGAAACTTTCACTGAGGGCTACAACACAGGCAACAAAACACTGAGGGCTACATAACTGAGGGCAACATCCTGGGGGAACATACACTGAGGGCTCATAACTGGGGCTCATACACTGGGGGAAAACAAAACACTGAGGGCAACATAACTGAGGGCAACATACTGAGGGCACATAATTTGAGGGCACATACACTGGGGGCAAATACACTGAGGGCAACAACACGAGGCAACATACACGGGGAAACATCACTGAGGTTACATAACTGGGGCTACTCACTGGGGGCAATACACTGAGGGGCAACATACACGGGGGCTACATACACTGAGGGCACATACCTGGGGGCAAAATACACTGAGGGCACATACACTGAGGGAACTACACTGAGGGCAAAAACACGAGGCTACATACCTGGGGCAACATACACTGAGGGGCACATACACTGAGGGCTACATAAAATGAGGGTACATACCGGGGGGAAAACATACATTTGGGGCCCATAACTGAGGGCTACATAAAAGAGGGCACATCACGAGGGAAACAAACGGGGCACATCACTGGGGCAAAAAACAGAGGACATAAAAACTAGGGCTACATACACTGAGGGCTACATACACTGAGGGCAACATACACTGAGGGCTACATACACTGAGGGCAACATACACTGAGGGCACATACACTGAGGGCAACATACACTGAGGGCTACATAAAAGAGGCAACTACACTGAGGGCTACATACACTGGGGGTTAAACATACACGGGGGAACATACAGGGGGCTACATACACTGAGGCACATACACGAGGGAAAAACATCACTGAGGGCACTACACGAGGGCAACATACACTGGGGGCAACATACAGAGGGCACATACCGGGGGGTACATACAACAGGTTAAACATTTTGGGAACTTTTTAAAAACTGAAAAATTTAAAAATTTAATACACCGATGCAAAAAAACTTTTAATACATCCGGGAGCAAATACATTTAATACCCAGAACAAATTTTTTATACATCCGGGGATAGCAAATACATTTAAACATCAGGATAGCAAAAATCATTTATTACATCCAGGGTTTACAAATACTTTTAAATACATCCGGGAAGCAAAAAACCATTTATACATCCAGGAACAAAATTTTTGATCATTTGAAATATGAGTTTTTTTTACTAACAAAAAAAAAGTTAAAATTTATTTCATGGGGGTTGGGCCACCCTGACAATTGGGGGGCCCCACCCTGACAATTTGGGGTATCCGCCCATGTATCAAGGGGTTAGGGCCCCCAGCCATAATGGTGGATCCCCACCCTTATCAATGGGTGGAGGTCCCCCATGACAATGGGGGTTAGGGCACCCATGTTATCAATGGGGAAAAGGTCCGCCATGACAATTGGGGGGAGGTGCAACCCTGTACAATGGGGGGGGCCCACCCTGATAAATAGGGAGGGCCCCCATGAAAATCAGGGGGTTGGGGCCCCAAAAGGGCAAAAAGGGGTTAGGGCCCAACCCTTTTCAAGGGGGGGTTAGGGCCCCAGTTCAATTTTGGTGGCCAAAAAAATGGGGGAGGGCCCCCCCATTATCGTGGGGGGGTGGGTGCGCCAAATTTGCATAAATGGGGGGTAGGGCCCCACCCGTACATGGGGGTAGGTCCCCACCCATGACAAGGGGGGGAGGTCCCCCCATGTTTTCAAGGGGGGTTAGGGGCCATCACAAGTGGGTTGGGCCCACCCTTTTAAATCAAGGGGTTAGGGCCCCCCATGTATCAAGGGGTTATGGCCCATGATCAATTGGGGGGTAGGTCCCCACCCTGTATCAAAGGGGGGGTATGCCGCCCTTTAAAAATCAATGGGTTACCCCCCATCAGGAATTTTAACCCATTAAAAATTTGGGTTAGGTCCCACCCATTATAAAGGGGGGTAGGCCCCCATTTATAAAGGGGGTTGGGGCCAAAATAAAATTTATCCCCCA